GTAGGCCGTACTCAGGCTTGGGTCACACACATCCGAGATACCTTATTTAGATTTGGGTTTGGTTTTGTCTAGGTTTCCCAGCAGGTTGGTTGCGCAAAATCTTTCATCTCTCTATTCAGACAAAGATTATCAGATAATTTGCAACAGTGATGTATTTCAAGATTAAACTCTTCCCCCAAGTGTAACTATACAGTTAAAATCATTGTTAAATGTAGAACCATATTTGTCAGGTGATATTCCCTACTACTTAAGATCTTCAAATGGCTAGTTTTGGATGCCAAAATTACGGTCTTCCTATAGAAACCGTTTGATACAATAACAGAGAATTTAAGGATAGGGTTTGCGTATTTGTAAATTTAAGAATAAATATTTTATTGAAGATGAGCTACACATATTGTTTGTCTGTGAAACCTATGATATTCTTAGCAAGAAATATATATACCTTATGTATACGTTATGCTTAAACCTTTGTTAATTCTCATTATGTGCCGCAAGATATGGTGAATTTACTGACACACGCAATGTTTCTATCTTGCAAAGTCTATGTTTGTATTTATATAAAGTATTGAAATTGAGTGCCAACATTATTTATCCATACGCCCTTAGTCTTGCAGTTATTACTGGTACACAGTAATGTCTCTATCCTGCATAGTAAACATGGAAATTGTGACCCAACACAATTAACCCAAAGCACTTAGCCCTTCAGTTATCAATGCTACACAGTTAAGCTTGTCATTTAAAACCAACAATTCATAAAAGCATTTTGTTGTCCATATAATATTGTAACATATGATATATTGGGGATGACACTTTCTCAGTAAAGATTCTAGTACTTTTTGGGGGTTGAGTCGCATCCGGGATTCGAACCCACATCCTCAAAGTCAGGCACCTGATCGTCAGCACACAAAGTCAGACGCCTAGACCGCTCAGCCACCGCGGCTTCCACGGTGGCTGAGCGCACATATATGTGACGTGCGTGTCGATCGATGATCTATGTATAACCTACATGGCGATAACGGGTTCCTGTGGCTGAGCGGGATCCGTGCCAATTAACACTTATCAGAGGGGTACACAAAGTCCGCAGTCTAGACTACCAGTTGTCCGACTTCCAAGATGAAGGGGTATGCATAGAATAGAGAAATGTTTAACACAGCAAATGAAAGGATATGCATAGAATAGGGAAATATTTAACAGAAAATGAAGGGATATGCATACAATAGCGAAATGTTTCACAGAGAAGATGAAGGGATATGCATTGAATAGCGAAATGTTTAACAGAGAAGATGAAGGGATATGTATAGAATAGCGAAATGTTTAACAGAGAAGATGAAAGGATATGCATAGAATAAGGAAATGTTTAACAGAGAAGATGAAGGGATATGGATAGAATAGCGAAAGGTTTAAGAGAGAAGATGAAAGGATATGCATAGAAAAGCGAAATGTTTAACAGAGAAGATGAAGGGATATGCATAGAATAGCGAAATGTTTAACAGAGAAAATGAAGGAATATGCATAGAATAGCTAAATGTTTAACAGAGAAGATGAAAGGATATGCATAGAATAAGGAAATGTTTAACAGAGAAGATGAAGGGATATGCATAGAATAGCGAAATGTTTAACAGAGAAGATGACGGGGTATGCATAGAATAGTAAAATGTTTAACAGAGAAGATGAAGAGATATGCATAGAATAGCGAAATGTTTAACAGAGAATATGAAGGGGTGTGCATAGTATAGTGAAAAGTTTAACAGAGAAGATGAAGGGAAATGCATAGAATAGCGAAATGTTTAACAGAGAAGATGAAGGGGTATGCATAGAATAGCAAAATACTTTAACAGAGATGATGAAGGGATATGCATAGAATAGAGAAATGTTTAACAGAGAAGATGAAGGGATATGCATAGAATAGAGAAATGTTTAACAGAGAAGATGAAGGGGTATGCATAGAATAGCAAAATACTTTAACAGAGAAGATGAAGGGATATGCATAGAATAGGGAAATGTTTAACAGAGGAGATGAAGGGATATGTATAGAATAGAGAAATGTTTAACAGAGAAGATGAAGGGGTATGCATAGAATAGCGAAATGTTTAACAGAGAAGATTAGGGGATATGCATAGAATAGCGAAATGTTTAACAGAGAAGATGAAGGGGTATGCATAGAATAACAAAATGGTTAACAGAGGAGATGAAGGGATATGCATAGAATAGCGAAATGTTTAACAGAGAAGATGAAGTGATATGCATAGAATAAAGAAATGTTTAACAGGGAAGATGAAGGGATATGAATAGAATAGCGAAATGTTTAACAGAAAATATGAAGGGATATGCATAGAATACCGAAATGTTTAACAGAGAAGATGAAGCGGTATGCATAGAATAGCGAAATGTTTAACAGAGAAGATGAAGGGATATGGATAGAATAGCGAAATGTTTAACAGAGAAGATGAAGGGATATGGATAGAATAGCAAAATGTTTAACAGAGAAGATGAAGGGATATGCATAGAATAGTGAAATGTTTAACAGAGAAGATGAAGGGGTATGCATAGAATAGCGAAATGTTTAACAGAGAAGATGAAGGGATATGCATAGAATAGCGAAATGTTTAACAGATAAGATGAAGGGATATGCATTGAATAGAGAAATATTTAACAGAGCACATGAAAGGATATGCATAGCATAGCGAAATGTTTAACAGAGAAGGTGAAGGGATATTCAGCAAACAAATAACAGACATCAACCTGAAAAGAGATCTGGTAACATATTTTTCAAGACCATTATTTACGGCAGGCCAATTCATTTCTTGTTTGACCAAAGAACCTGCTCTCAACTTTTAATAAAGTATTTCAAATAAAATGGGCTGACCTCCTATTTATTACAAGTATATGAATAAACAATATTGATCTTAGATTTGGGGGAGAATAGGTGATTTTTCTTTGTTCTGAGTAGTGTCCCTTTGGCACACCAGAAACCTATGATAGTGGGTTCCTGTTTGCCCCATGTATTTCTGTAGATTTGTCATGCTCCTGGATTGCTTCAAGGTGGTAAGCATCTTGTAGTTTACTCCCACATTTAACTTACAAGCCATGATACAACTGGAATCTTGTTCAAAGCAGTGATAAATCAACCCACTCACTCAATATTAGGTCATTTGTTTTACTATAATGTTTAATGGTAGACAATCACTGAAATTTAAACAAGAGTGAGTGAGTGGCTTTCCACAACTACCTGTCAGAACAACAATAAACAAAGCTGACTGTCTTGACAAAAAAAAAAAAAAGTAGAATTGATGTGAGCATGGAACAGTGTGAGAGAGTGGGAGCAGAATTTATCAAACATCTGGCAATAATCAAGCCATAACACTGCATAACCAAAATGGACTTAAACACTCTACTCATATGAGGTATTGAACCCAGGATTTAACAATAAAAAGGGGACATCTTAACCACCCGCTTCAAGGGAGGTTATCTGAACATGGCCTGAACAACACACTTGACACCTAAATTATTATGACCACAAAATCATACACCTTGATTTATAACAAAAGTTTAACAACCTTCATAACATCACACAGACTACCCAGTTTTCCAGCAGTTAGTCGTCTCTGACAACTATCACTAGTTGCTGAGGACCATTTCGAACTGGATCCTAACATGACAAAGACCTGATGTAAATGTATTTCAACCTTGACATCGCTTGATCCCAAACATCAAACCAACACAATGCAATCTCCAAGCACATTCCATATTTAGTTGTCATTTTGCAGTTGAACTCCGGATAACTCGAAGTATTTACATCAGTCCCTTCAACTCTGACCCACTGATGTTTGATTGTATCTGCAAACACAGCAAACCATTACATGTGATACTGTTAAGAAACACCACGCAAAATATGTTTATGTAATTTCATATAATAATATTAATAATTCATTTATATTGCGCCTAGTATCCATCTGACAACTTGCTCACTGGACGCTGTAATCAGAATCTGTGAGGCACTAGAAGGTTAATAGTCACCTGACTTATCTCAATACATACACATAAATAGGCGGAGTAATAGGCACAAATCACATTTCCAATATGTTTGCCATTGTTGCCATGCTAAAGTCTGATTGGAATTCGGTGAACAAGTCTTTAGATACTATAGCTGTATCATTCTTGAAAGGCAAAGATGAGGTTTAATATGAATGCTGAATATGTAACACCTGTCGAGGAATGATGGACAAGCCAGGCCATTGGTTCTACTTGACTTCTAGTCAGGTGAACCAAAAATAAATCAAAACAAAACACGAAAATCATCATCATTCATAGTCATATTCAGTGAAGAAATCATTTTCCATACAATCCTCAAATTAAAATGCACATATTGGACACAAAAACGTCACATACATCCTTTACATAAAAAAAAAGACTTCATCACTTTCAACCACACACCTCTAATACATCTTGCATTAACCCTTGTACAAAATGCAGTAAGGCACATAATAAAATTGATGTTAGAGTGAGTGAATATCGTTTTATTCCTCAGTCTACAATATTCCTGTCATAGTCTGAGCCAGACAAGCCAGTGATTGACACCATTGACACCATGTGCACACTGATGGAATATGCTGGTACATGATCAGCTGTGTCACACAACTGTCAGCTCTAACAACAGGCAATGTCTGCTGTCTAGAACACTGGACAATGACCAAAACCCAATCCTACACCAGACTGTATCAAGACATTTGTGCGGTCACCTTGCTCAAGGCAGAGCAGCCATGCGTCTGTACTCCTCTCTCAAGTCACAGTTGTGGACTGCACATTGCAGAGTGACTGAGGGTTGCTTGGTTTGTTGTTTAACACTGCACTCAGCAATATTCCAGCTATATGGCAGCACTATGTAAATAATCAAGTCTGGACCAGACAATCCAGCGATCAACAGAATGAGCATTGATGTACACAATACATTGCTATGTGTCAACCAAGTCAGCGAGCCTGACCACTCAATTCCGTTAGGCGTCTCTTACGACAAGCATGGGTTGCTGAAGACCAATTCTAACCTGGATTTCACGGGTCGAGTGACTGAGGGAGTGAGTTGGGTTTAGAGCCACTTTGAACTGTATTTCAGATATGTGAAATTATGCAAGTTTCTTGGACCAGTGAAACCCATGAGCATCTAGATGCCTCATCACCATCAACCAGGATCCAAACCAGTGATCACAGCTTTCTTACATGTCTCCTTGGTACAATTCTACAGTGAAATGTGTAGCAAAAACAAAGACTCCAAATCTTGATTGAAGAAATATAGCAGCTTCCATGATCCATCAACTCCAAGACAAGGTTTCATGGCAGTCATCCAAAATTTCCCATTACATCATTGGATCCACAAGAATGCTATTTGAATCACACAAGGGTTTTGAAGTTGTTATCACAGAAATCTGTCCCTTCTTTCTCCAATTTCGACTAGAAATATAATCTCATTGCTGTGTTTCACAGACAGCACAAACTTTGCTAAATAGAATATAATCCACAACACAGAGTTTCCACTGAATCGGAACATTCAACCCCAATCTGCAACATACATCCCTTATAATTCCCAAGGCAGAGGCCACTCTCCGTTGTTTCCATGACAACACAAACCAGGAAACCATGATCTCAAGTCTCATCTATAGCACATTGTCAACTGGTCATATCACATGTCTTCCCCTGCATATCACAGCTGAGGTGCTGAGGTCACAGTAGTCAAGATTCAGCACCATGCAGATCACTGGACTCTCAGCTAAAGAAGTAGACTGACTTCAACACATTGGTCAGATCAAATGTACCTGAAAGTACACAAGGAACAATCAGACAACCTTACCATCAGAGTTTTTACAGATGTGGTAGTTCTTAATATCAACATCCATACTACATGGTATTTGTTAGTTGTTCGATGTCGCATTCAGCAATATTCTGGCTATATGATGGCTGGCTGTAAATAATCGAGTCTGGGTCATACAATCCAATAATCAACAGCATGAGCATCAATCTCTGCAATTGGGATAGGATGACATGTGTCTACCAAGTCAGTGAGCCTGACCACCTGTTCCTGTTAGTGACCACTTACAACAATGTCGTCTGCTAGCAAGTAAACAGAGGGGGATAACTCTTCACACAATAATGAAAAAGGATTACCGGAGTTGTCTCTCTTGAATGAAACCAAGCACTTGATAGCTGGTCAAGGTTGTTTACACTAGAAATCCAATTAGACACATTCCTAAAATTCTCAATAACTTCTGGTCATACTATATACACATATTTATATTGGTTTCATACAGCAGTGTGTGTATACGTGCATGCACATTCATCCTGGTTTCATACAGGAGTGTGTGTATTCATGCATGCACGTTCATCCTGGTTTCATATAGCAATGTGCGTATACGTGCACGCACCTTCATCCTGAATTCATACAGTGGTATGCGTATACGCGCATGCACATTCATCCTGGTTTCATACAGCGGTATGCGTATACGTGAATCCACTTTCATCCAGGTTTCATACTGCGGTATGCGTATACGTGCATGCACATTCATCCTGGTTTCATACAGGAGTGTGTGTATACGTGCATGCACATTCATCCTGGTTTCATACAGCAGTGTGCGTATACGTGCATGCACATTCATCCTTGTTTCATACTGGAGTGAGTATACGTGCATGCACATTCATCCTGGTTTCATACAGGAGTGAGTGTATACGTGCATGCACATTCCTCCTGGTTTCATACAGCGGTGTGCATATACGTGCATGCAAATTTTTATTGATTTCATACTGGAGTGAGTATACGTGCATGCACATTCATCCTGGTTTCATACAAGAGTGTGCGTATACGTGCATGCACATTCATATTGGTTTCATACATAAGTGTGTGTATACGTGCATGCACATTTATATTGGTTTCATACAGGAGTGTGCGTATACGTGCATGCACGTTCATCCTGGTTTCATACAGCGGTGTGCATAAACATGTATGCACATTCTCCCTGGTTTCATACAGCGGTGTGCGTATACGTGCATGCACATTATTCCTGGTCTCATACAGCGGTGTGTGTATACGTGCATGGTCATTCATATTGGTTTCATATGGGAGTGTGCGTATACGTGCATGCACGTTCATAATGGTTTCATACAGTAGTGTGTGTATACGTGCATGTACATTCATATTGGTTTCATACAGTAGTGTGTGTATACGTGTATGCACGTTCATCCTGATTTCATACAGCTTTGTGCGTATACGTGAATGCACATTCTTCCATAGTTTTAGTATTTGGTGCCATTCCTTACTGTAAGAATATTACCGTAATCAAAAACATCATACTAATTCTGTGCGAACTTGTTTTTAACCTAATGTCATAAATACAGGACATCAGACAGGGCATCAAATAATACCAACATTATTTATATGATCAATTAACACTCACTAAAATACAGTAAACATATTTACAGAAATGTGTTTGATGGCCTGTTCTTGTTGATATTTCAGAATTCTATGGCTACATGCGTGTTAGTAACTGGTTGTTGAATTTGTGGTGTGAGATGTTGAGGAGAAGTGGACCTAGATGGATTTATGTCTTCAAGAGAAGCTGCTTCCAGCCAGAGAACTGGCATCCTTGAGAGGCTTTATGAAGCTGGAGCACTAACGAAGGACAACAATATATACGTCGTACATAGAGTGAGGGAGTCATGTTACAGTGGGAACTAGGGCTACAATAGCGTGGGGAAGCCAGTTAACTACACTATGTTTAAGATCAGCTTGTATTCCGTGAAGCCTGTAGTATAGACAATGGATTGAGACTGAATGTTGATGAGTTGATGCTTAACACTTGTACATTTGCCTTTCCATCCTTATTCTGATCATCACTTGCTTGATAACGGCGTTACAACAGAAAAGTCGCTGTAATAAGGAAGTTGGACATCCATACATTGTTATCCTTCCTTAACCATACAACTGGTCGCCATCGGCTCCAAAGAGAAACTGAATGTACAGTATGTTTATTTCATTGTAGGTAGGTGGTTGGCTTGAATGAAATGATTAATAATTAACGCTACGGACGCTTTGTAGATCGGAACCCAGAGCCCCATGCATTACACTATCTTAGGTGAACTGACAACGTAAGTTCAAAAGTTTGCATTATTACAGTTATGATCAATGTGAGCACAAATCTAATATTTGTTACAGGAAAATAACCCTTTGTGTATACCAGTGTACCGTTATATGTGTGCCAGTCTCTCCTATTCCACATATTTGGTCTGTTTTCAGTGAATAATAGCTGCCATAATAGCTACGAATAAAACTTAATCGCCGTTCCCCATGATAATTTGTAGGTCGCTGTATCCTGATTTTGAAATACAATGCTCATTTGAGGTCAGTGTTGGCATCAGTAATACAAGTAATAATGACGTATGAGGACCGCCAAAACCACTGTTTATCAGACTCATGTCTGCCTGTCTTTTATCTTTTAAAACCTTTTAAAATATTTTTCCAGTTGTATTACGCCGTGTCAGCTTGACGTGGGGGGAGATAGCAGATAATGCAGGTCTTACAGTGAAACCTAGGGGTCAGGACAACTGGGACTCGAACCAACGATAATAGTTTTCTCGCACGCCTGATCATAACACCCTTGAAGATCCGGGTTAGAATTGGTCTTTAGCCACCCAAACGTGTCATGAGATTGATTGGTCAGACTCGCTGTCTTTCTTGACACGTCATCGTTTCCAATTATTTTTAGATCGATGCTCATGATGTCGATCACCGGAGTGAGTGAGTGAGTTTAGTCTTACGCCGCACTCAGCACTATTCCGGCTATATGGGAGCGGTCTGTAAATAATCGAGTCTGGACCAGACAATCCAGTGATCAACAGCATGAGCATCGATCTGTGCAATTGGGAACCGATGACATGTGTTAACCAAGTCAGCGAGCCTGACCACCCCGATCCCGTTAGTCGCCTCTTACGACCAGCATGGGTTACTGAAGGTTCATTCTAACACGGACCTTCACGGGTGTCGATCACTGGATCGTCTGTTTACAGACTAGAGACACATAGTTGGAATATCAAACACCAAACATACAAACCTAAGGGAATCAACTCTGTACAGGAACTTGTAGTTCCTGAGATGACAGGGTCACCTTTTAAACGTCTTGAAACGAATCAGCATGGTCACTGAAGATCAATTCTAACCCGGATCTTCGCTGTATTTTGCTGATGAAACGATGGTGATCATTGTCTTCTTTATACACGTTCAACCGCTCACGAGATTCTCCCTCTCTTTATTACATTTATGCTAGACAATACATGGTTGATTCTTTTTCTCTTCCTTGTTCTGCGGTCCAAGTATGACTGAAGTGACAATTTATTCGTCATTCCGAAATATCACACTCTTAAAACATCACAGATATGGTATCAAGGTATATTTCTATATTTAAGTAGAATGAACTCTGTAGGCGTACATATTACATCAGCCTTTAGGCAAAACATTGGTTGTGTCCCAATCGTGGCCAACTCGTGTTATTCCGGGACAAGTTGAATAGCAACCCGTGCCTCTCTGGAAGGATTTCATATTGGCGTATGAACATAAGAACTACTTTAAACAAGAACGATAACTCTATTTCCTGTTTGATTCTAGTGGTACTTAATATCACCGAAGTTCTGAGATACTTTATTGCTATTTTTGTTTTGTTTTATTTATTGATTCTAATAAATTAAACCTCTTTGATACAACTAAAAGAAGGAGAGAAAAATATTTGTTAAACGTAATTATTAGCAGCTGTTCACCTTATATTTCCAAATGTATATTTCTATATAGGGTTTAAGAATCACAAATGGGATTTGTTTTGTTGAATTAGCAAATACAACAAATATGTTTTCACCTTCAATAAAACATAAAACAAATACTAAAAAAATGACTTTGACATATTTCTCAAACTGAACATTCGTGTAACCCTGCTACCATATCCCCGGTGGAATATTAAAATGAATACGCTGAAAAATATATGAATGACCCCTAAAAAGTCAGGCTAAAATATCTCTAGAATGTGAAATGTAAGCCCAATGATAAAGATTAAAGTTGATTAGTTATATATAGAGATGAATTATTGTTTTAAAACCCGTAGTGATTTATAATTAATATGTTTTCTAAAAATGTTTCGAAAGCGCACGTACAATCTCCAAAACAAGACGGCAGGATTGTCAGAAATACACTCGCTTGGACCCATAACAGCCAATCAAAGAACCCATGAGAGCTGTTAAGTAAAGAAACGCACCAGTGTGTGTTTGATTCTCTCACCGTCCCTGACATGATCCTTATTAAAAACTGCACACGTGGCAACACAATACTGATAGCTACGTCCTTTATACTTTACACATTACGATATACATTTTTCACGATTTTTTAAACAATCACATAATGCCATAAACGATTTAAGTACCCGGGATTCTTTGTATCAAAGCGCACGCAATCATTATGCGCGTTCTGATGGGTCTGTCATATCTTCGCACATAACTAGCATCCAGAGGGGCACGAGCATTCTTGGAGGTTACGGAAAGGGGCGAATGGTTGTGCTCAAACATACCTCTTTTACAATATCATTTTTCATAAAAGCTCAATACAAACAGGTGTTAAACTCATAAAACGTATCAGAAACAAGGTTAGCATATAGTGAACTATCAATCATTAGACGTACGTGACTTTATCCTTTCATTTATTCAGCCCTGCCTGATTGTAATAAACGGGAATATTGATCTGATGAGCTGGTGAGTCGTATTGTGGCATACGTATCCAGCACATACC